TTTAAACTTCACAGATATGTTGTATTTGATGCCTAAAACATGAATATTCTATTTGAAGACTTACCAAACTTATTAAAAAAAAAAAAAATTTTGATTTTTTCGAGTGACAATAAAAATAGAGTAATTTCGGTACCTTTTCGCCTAAATAAACATTTTAAGGGTAAAATTGTTCAAATACGTGATATATTTTTTATTGTACTTATTTCTGGAACTTCATTGATTGAAATAATTGCAAGAAGAATGCTTTAGCTTTTTTTTTTTGCCGAGCGAAGGGAGTGACACTAAAACAAAAACAAATCGAGGGATTTTTGCTCATATGCAGTAAAAGATGATTTACTTTAAAATTATGGGCACATTTCATTCATATGAAACGGCTTTTTCGCATTGCCTAGTCGAATGATTTGTATGCTGAACCAAAATGGCGCTCTGTTGTGGTGCTTGTGAGAACTTTTAGAGCCGCTCTGCAAACGCCCATGGAATCGAACGAAAAAAACTTCACTGTATGCTAACGCGATCACCTGAGTAAGCGAGTGTTATTCTCAATAACATTTTGAAATGAAACTTTATCACAACCACAAGACTTTCCACCACTGGCGTAGACCACTTATGTAGGTGTGTTAGTGCAAATATGACGATCGTCGATGTATTCGCAGATACGTAAGTATGAAGCTGAAGCTTGCTTTTCGCTGTTTTAGCATGTCGGTTAAGGACAGATGAACCAACCGCCGCACCAACAACCAGCACTCTGATAGCCAGCTTACGAGCTCATTTAATAAGCTTGAATCTTGGTAGGGCTGGGTCGTTAATACATACATACATATGCATATATATGTATATATGTACGCATCTATGCATCCACTTGTGAGTTGTAAGCTGTGAGTGCGACTCAAAAGTGGTTGAGCAACTGGACAATGCCGCTGTGAGAGTACTGAACGTCATCGTTCCAATGGAAATGGAAGGTGGCTCATCGCTTACTCAGTTTATCGACTTGCTTGCTGGCGCTCGTTGAAGTGACGGCGTTGGCAGCTGCTCCTCCGCCCCGATACGGTACGGCATTAACTTGTCTATGCCTATACTTTTGCAGACTTTTCTTTTCTTGTTTTTTTTTGTTTTTTTTTGTTGAACGAATGTGTACATGAGAGTGTTGCGTCGTCGCCTGTTGAATGACTGACGTGCGTGCGGCGTTCCACACTCGCTCTCTGGTGGGAGCACTCGCTTCCATGTAATTTTTCGAATCATCATCATCATTTTGCATTTGACTTTCGAATCGAGCAGTTTATATTGTAGATCGAGTTTTGTGTTCACGTTCTCGTTATTTGCGTTCGTCGCCGTTTTTCCACACAGTGCAATACTCTTTCCTTACATTGCTGTGGTGTTGTGCCTATGTATTTTATTTGTATGTGAGTGTTTATGTTCAATTT